CTCCGTCATCATCTTGAGCACATTCCATCGTAGCGGGATCGAACTTGGTCCCACTCTCGAAAAAGTGATACTCAACAACGGGGATTTGGGTCTGGAATCTGAAATAAAATATACGAACTATCTCAAGGATGGTAGAAGGAGCTAATTCTTCGATATCTTTCTTTCTCGATTCGTCCTTAATCTGACGACATTTTTCGAGCTCGCTCAATATATACTTGACTAGTTTTACTAAAAAATGGATGATCGGCGGCAGCAAAACCACGACTGCCAAGTACAGCATATACTTGTTGACGTATCTTCACTCCTGTCATGCGCGTCAATCCATCCTCTCCTTTGCGCCTCTCAGCAAACTCTTTTATATAACGTTTCAAACTGGATGTTATATTTAAGATCGTTCCTTCTAAGAAATAATTTAGATCAGCCTCAGTGTATTGTTCAAGCTCCTTGTTACTCTTCCCATCTAAATCCTCGATACATTTGTTAAAATATGAATTTGTATATCTCAACACTTCCTCGATAATATATCTTTGCAGTGTGCTGCTGATGATTAACTTCGTTGTAGGGTCAACGCGACAGTCGTATTTTTGCAGCAGTGTATTAACCCCTTGTTGATCGAGAGTAATGCGTCTACCTTTTAATTGAGTAAACTCTTTTAGAGCATTTTTCAATTTATTAATGTCCTTTCCAAGCTGGAAAGAATAATTCTTATCATTATCGCTCCATCCGACATTAATAGTATCTCCAAGAGCAGCTTTGATACTCTCAGCAGCGTTTTGTGCTTCGTGTAGCTGTTTTTCTAACTCAGCATTCTGATTACGCAAAACTTTGTTTTTCATCTCGAGTTCAGCAAATGGATCACGGCGACTAGGTCCGGCTGCAAGTTCTTTGGCTTTTTCATTCTCGCTTTGAATGGACAAAGAAACAGTGGAAGTGGTGATACAAGGAATGAACCTGCTCGTGTATATCGCACCCTGGTGTTTTTCCTTAGTCGGTTGTGGATGGTTTGCCCTATATTGCCTTGCAGCATCTGCTTGTGCCTGAATTTCTGGTGCAAGTCCTACATCATGGAAATCTTTCCAACCAAATAATACCTCGTAATCGATTTCACCTGCACTCGGACGTTTTGCAGGATCCCCGTCCCAACACCTTTGCATGAGTTTTGCCCAGAAATCCGGTATTCCTTTGTCAACAGGTGGACGTAATCCCTGGACAATTTTACAACAGAGAAGGCGGTCATGATCATATTCACTGAAGGGTTGTTCACCTGTCCAGAGCTCCCACATGATAATTCCAACAGCGTATACGTCAGTAGCCTTGGAATGTTGTCCTCCTTGAAATAGTTCTGGAGCCATAAAAGGGATTACTCCGTAACTTCCATTTTTCTGGTCGACCGAAGAATTAATAGATCTGGATAGAGCCAAATCAGAGATAACTGCCGGAAGGGGGCCAAAAGACGGTCGAATCAAGACGTTTCCACTATGAAGATTACAGTGAACAAAGCCTAT